CACAGCGGAAACCCAGGCTCCGGGGCGCGGGTCCCTCCGAGCCCGGACCTTCCGCAGCGGGCGGGCTCTCCAGGGACCGCTACTCGTGGGAACTTAACCCCGACGGCTGGCGACTTTGGGGAACCAGTCTTAGGGATGGATTTGGCCCGTGCTATCAGAGCAGGAGGCCAGGTCGATGTTGCTTAGGGGGCCCGCCTGCCCCTCGGGGCGCTGACCCTGCGGTCCTGCGCGTCCTGGGGGGACAGCCCGCACCCTAAGCTGTCGATGGGAGGGCAGGACAGAGGGAGGAGCCTGTTGGGGTCCAGGCGGGGGCGGTGAAGGATGGAAGGAGTGGGTGGAGCTAAGGCGGAGCTGTCCCCGCTCTGTCCCTCGCGCGCCCCGGGTCCCAGCTCATCTCTCGTCCAGGGACATGGCGGGCACGCCTGGCGCCGCTGGCACCCCTGGCACCCCGGACAGCGAGGCCCCCGAGCTCTCCCCGCCCTGCAGTCCGAGCTATGATCTTACGCTCAAGGTGGGTGGGCGCTGCGTCCAGCCCTGGGGACTCCTGTGCCAGTTCCCAGGGCCACCCCTCCCCACGCCCTTTGCCCTGAGCCCCTGGGGATCCCGATCCCCGAGCCCTGCGCTTTTCCGGCTGCGCCTGCGTTGGACTCAGCCCTTCCCCCTGGCGGCCGGGCGTCCCAGACTAGAGNTGAGAGAAGGGAACCGTCACAGACCTGGGGACAAAGAGGGCTGTGTGGAGCGGCCTGGCGGGCAGGAGCTGTGACCAGCAGTGGAGGAACACAGCAATGCCTAGTAACCCCCCAACACCGCCTGCCTCCTGCTCCCCCATATTCTATGGGGCTTCCCACTGGCTGCACACAACTGGAAGCTGGAAAGCAAGGGAATGCACTGATACAAATTGCTCAGGCCCACCTCCCAAGGCAGTAAGAGCCTGGAGAGGCAAAAGCATGGCTTAAAGTTCTAAAACAGTCCAATCGTAGCACTGTGGTCCTAGGGCACTGGTAGGTCTGAGGTTAAAGTTCTGTATTTAGCACTTGGACTCTCCCTGGGCACAGCGTGGGGGAAGCACAGATTAGGGAAGTGATCCCAAACCATAGCCCCTCCTGAGCCAAGAAGGCCTCCCTCCACCCCCCTGCTTTCTCTCCACTTTCACCATGACTGCCTGCCAGCTGCTCTCAGGAACGCTGGGTCCTGGGAAGGCCTCTGGAGAGGATTGGCTCTTCTCTTGGACTATTCTCAGGAGCCGCAAGGCCCTCCTTTGGGGTCTCCGGAGTCCTGAATCATTCAAGGAAGTTTAATAAAAAGACTATTTACCAAGGTGTAGGCAGGGTGTTGGGAAACCAGGAGGGACGGTGCAGTGTTTAGGGGTCCTTTCAGGGCTTCCATCCCCCAACCCAGCCTAAAAGAGGTGAGAGAAGGGAACCATCACAGACCTGGGGACAAAGAGGGCTGTGTGGAGTGGGCTGGCGGGCAGGAGCTGTGACCAGC